TCATATATGTGTTTCCGAGGCTTAAGCCATTCTTTTTTTTGCAACGAACACAACTGTGGAAATATAGAAAATGGAAGTTTTAAATAAGCTATATAATATGCTGTATTAAAAAGAAACTCCATTTTCTTTAATGTTTCTTCATCAAGTCTGCTCAATGCAGCACGCAAGGGTCTTTCCTCCCTTGGTCTCTCGCTAGCACGTTTAGCTGCTGAGCTCATAGCGTGTCCTTCACTGGCCTCGTGTGCCTTTAAGCTGTCAGTTTGAAAGTTATTTGTTCCGATCCTCAGGGAATAATGCGTGTTTTTTCCATTTGGAAATTCCCTGCAAAACTCACAAAACATTTTGTTTTCTTTTTCATCAAAGTGGAGCCATTTGTACCTTTCTTTCCACGATTCTTGAAACTTCCGTTTCTTTTTGATCGGAGGCGCAGCAGGCATTGTAGGTGTTGTGTTACTTTCTTGATCTTGCTTTCCTCCGAAGAAAGAACTCAGTGAGCTTTGAACTTGTTTTCGTCTGGACATTTCAACAAGTCGTATTTTGAAAGAAAATATAGACACCATCAACATCGACACGAAAAGCCGCCATATTGAATCCCACAATGCATTTCATTTCAGAGCAGAACCCAGACTATTACCTGCCAGGAGAACGCCTAGCATGTTTTGCTCGACGTTTTTGAAGCGTTTGTTTTCGGGAATAGCCCGATCCAAGGTTATCAACACCATATTTCAAAGGGTGCAAAACCACTGGGACGAGGGCGCGGCCAAACATACTCTGCAGCGCAAAAAAACAAGCTGTTCTATGTTTGCTACTTCCTAGTTTTTTTTTTTATTTTTAACGTTGAGAGGTTTTGATATTATTCAAAAGGTATTACTTGCCATATTTGAGCATTTTCTACGTTTTGCCGATGCTGAGACAAGCAGAAGAAAGCTTGAATATCAAGACTTTTTGAACTGAACTGGAAAGATTTTTAGCACCTCGAGGATTGAAACAGACAAGCAAAAAGCTGAACTTGTGGCGAGTGCATTTCGGTGCCTACGAGCTGAAAGCACCTAAGAAGTTTTCTCAAGAAGAAATTGACAAGAAATTGAAAGAAGAGTACCAACAGAGCCTAGAAAAACATCAGATAAACACCAACCCCAATTCTATTCGGAAAGAAGACTGGAAGGAAAACGTCCATGAATGGCCAAATATAGATGATGGAATGCTTTTTAGCTACATCTTAAGAGTGAAAGCAGTGGATGTAGATTACATGGATAAATATAAAGACCAAAAGGCATATTCTCATTAACTTAGTAGCTTTGTAGACACTGTATACCATGCTTCATGCAATGACAACGTATTGTTTTTAAAAGCATGTCTCTCCTTCGCAAAGACTAAACGATGACCCACATCATGTGTGGGTTTGTACTGAGGGACCAAAGGATAAATCAAAAATCCTTACATCATGGTGCTCCTGTATTGCAGGAACTAGTGAGGTATGCAATCATGTAATTGCCTTGTTATATTAAGTGAATTATGCTTTCAAGAAGGACTACATTTCATCAGCCTGTACAAGCATCCCTCAAGGCTGGCACAGAGGAACAAAGAAGGAGGTGGCACCAGGCCAAATTAGAAATCTAAAATTTTTTAAACATAAGAAGACAAGAAAGGACACTAATAGAGATCCTGCCATAGAGCAAGAACTCAGGGAACACTTTGATCCTAGGAAAGCTTGTGACAAAGTGTTAACTAATGAAAGAGTATCTGATTTGCTTAGAAAGATCAAAGAATGTGAGCCATTTTCTTGTGTCCTCAATTCCATTGAACATGCTAAAGATGATGGGCTTCCTCGACCACTTAAAGAGAAAGCCTTAGCCTTCATGTCTGTCAAAACTAACAAGAGCAAAACATGTGAAGAGATAGCTTCATCATTTCTGGAACATTGTCAGATGACAAATGATGAGGTAAAGAGAGTAGAAATTGAAACAAGAGGACAAAGTGGCAATAAGATGTGGTTTGATCAGCGAGAAGGCAGAATTACTGCCTCGAACTTCCATACATATCACACAAAAGATGGAATCAATTTTGAAGTTTAGAAAAGAGGGGCAAAATACTTATACCCTCTGGTATTCGACATTTTGAACAAAAGTGATGACATTTCTCACTTGCCTCAAATTAAGTGGGGATTGAACATGAGATGGATGCAATTAAGTCATTTTTGTCTGATGTGGCATCAAAACATGCAAATGGGATGAATGGGGTTAAACAATGTGGTCTGTTTGTAAAGCATGATTATGTTTTCCTTGCTGCCTCACCAGATGGTTTGTTTGTTTGTGACTGTTACAGTCCAGCTATACTTGAAGTAAAATGCCCTTTCTCAGTCAAAGAAGAAAATATCAATCTGAAAGCTACATACAAACGTGTCGATTTTTTTTTGGAGGAAGTAGATGGGAGCCCTAGATTAAAGCACACTCACAAGTACTACACCCAGATGCAGGTTCAAATGTGGGTGACTGGAACAAATCATGGGTACTTTATTGTCTGGACAAAGGTACTCAAGCCATTGTATAAAAAAAGAGTAGAGTTTAACAGAGAATATTTTAGTGTGGTTCTAAACAACGTCACTTTATTCTACAAAACATATGCCTTACCAGTTTTGTTGGGGTACAGGGATATCTACCAGTGTCCAAAGTGTGACAAAGTTATACTGGAGGAACCAGAAATCACTGACATGTCAGTTGAAAACAGTATTTGTTGTGATACCTGTAGCACATGGTGGCACTTACCATGTGCCAATCTCTCACAGGATGTTGCAGAATCACTGGAATCATGGATGTGTTATAGCTGTCTGGTTGATGTTGCAGACAGTGACTCTGACAGTGATAGTGATTTTGATGATGTGCCCGCCACTTGTACTTCTTGTGACATTGAAATGGATTCCACAGACAGTGTAACTGCAACCATGGATAATGCTGTACAAACTAATAGTCGTTTTCATGTACTGGCTGGCCCTGTTGAGTTATGCAGTGTATGTTCATCTCAGAGTATCCCTGTTGGTGAAGGACACATTTGTACCATTTGTTACAAACCTGTTCATGCATGGTGCAGCAACCATGAAGACATAACCAGATCATTGGAGTTAGTATGTAAACAGTGTCAACCATGAGATGATATAAAAATACTCTTTTGTGACGAATAAATAGCAGTCTTGTCTTGTCTTTCAGAGTGGAGACACCCATAAATTGATAGATTTTGACAAATACACTTTAATTTTGTTTTTCTGTATCTGAGTATTACACATGGCTGTTGGTGGGTTAACTGTACTTATTCTATAAAAAGAACCTAGCTACTTTAACTTACTTACAAAGAGGTGGAAGTAAGTTACACAATGCACAGCATACTCTAACGATATCATCCACAAGAGGTAGTAGAGTTATAGGCAGTTCATTTTTCAAAATATGAAACCTTTTACTCTTCCAATAGCTTGTTCAACATATATTCTAACATTTGCAATATTTGATGTCTTTCTGACATCTGAGGGTAACATCTGCATAGAGGCAGTGCAGGTAGGTGGGATACAATATTTAGCCATAGACATCATTAGGTCTTCTTTTATTTTAAATCCCCTGTCGGCCATTACTTCATCATATTGTTCAATGATGTTCAGAAAACCACAGTCTCTGACAATAAAGGCATCTGATGCCCTCCCCCATAGCTTTAAGAAACATAGGAAATTGCCCCTGTTGGAGAGATGGCTACTAGTACTTTACATGTGTGATGGTGCTTGTACTCACTCCAAAAAGCAGCAACAAGGTTCAAACCACAAGGGGTTTCGGTAAAACATTTGAAACAATCTATTATGCATCTCACTTTTGGGTATAATTTCTTGAAACAAGCTGGCAAAGTGTTTTTTACTTGTTGTTTGCTTGGCCAGATGATTAAGACTGACAGCTCTTTGGACATCAATTTAATCCATGTAATAAATACACTGCTGGCAGTAGTTGAAGAAACCATAAATCTGAATGCAAGATCTTCGTTAATGAGATCCAATTTCAACTTCATGATCGTCGAAAAGAATTCTTTTTCTAAGTCTAGCTTTCTTCCCGGTCCTGGGCGACATTTTGGCAAGCCTATGCCAGGGTCACTATGGTCTTGAGGTGCTTCTCTTGTTGTCTGTTTTGGTCCTCTCCAGTACTGCATATGTTGGGCTTTGGGCAAGAGGTGATCAAAAATACATTTGAAGCACTTTGTTGAAGGATGATTGTGATGGGGTGGATGCTGACATAAATAAAATCATACTTGAACAATGCTGTATTGGGGAAATGTCTTATATTAACAGAACCTCCAAGTGTCTATCAATCTCAATGGGTTAATTAATCACTGGAAAGCTTGTAAAAACTGAAATACAATAAATTAAAATAGGCTATCATCATACAATAAATGCTAATTAAAATGTCCTAAACTCGAACACGTGGGGCATTAATATAGATAAATCAAAACAACACAAATATCTTAAGCGCAACAAAGCTACCACGCTGGGCTGGCAGCTTGCCAAACCATGCCATTTCGATAACAGTGAGCCCGTAAGAAACCAGTCAGCGATCTCTATACAAATGGTGCTTTCAATATGGCAGCCCTTTTAGTAAAACTCCACGAAGCTGTGAATGATTACAAGAATTCTAGTGAAGACAAAGCTTTAGCAACAGAAATTGCGGGCCAGCTTTTAGTGTTGAGTAGAGCAGTTATCAAGAAACACATGTTCAACAGTGAAAGGGCTTTCAAATTTCATTTAGCTCAGCCCGCAAGAATGTTGGCAAGGATTGTTGCTTTTTGGCACATCAGAATGCTGAGAAAAATGAAGCAAAAAACGCGTGCTTCCCGGCCATGGACTGTCAATTTCTCATGGAATATACCATTGGAGGTGTGTGATTGTTTCAAGGTTGTCGCTTTAGCTCCTGTTGCTGTGGTGTGGTTGTCAGGAACACACGTGCTGTCCATGAGATACACATCATGGATATGGGAAAGATGAAGGGTCTCTTTCTCTCACTGGCAAATAAATATGGAAAAGGAACAATCCATGAGAGCGATGTCCTCCTCAAAAAGGAAAAAGATGGTTCCTTCAGCCAGGTGATTGTCACTGGTGACTATCCAGCTAAGTTTACATATTGAAAAAACTCTGAAATTATGAAAATCAGCCTCAGGTATGGACATTACAATAGACTGGGAGTTCCTCAGCACTCCCTGGCATAAAGAATAACAGTACCGTTTGCTGAGATCAGCAAAAAACAGTGCTAGAAATAATTGACATAATTTCCATAATTATGTCAGCTAAATGCAAGAAACTGTTGGCTGTTTATTTAGGTATTCAATCCTTGTCATCAATCATTTTGTTCAGTTTAATTAACTAATTAATTAACTCAAACCATGAAAAGTAGAGTTCATGAACACATAGTTGAAATTGTTTTATTCAAATAACTCTTAAAGACCATGTAAAATACAGGACATGAATACACATTTAAAATTATTTTATTCAAATAACTCTTTTTGAAACCATGGTAAGTACAGCACATAAGCATAATCAGCTGTTTGATAAGTTTCATTATGTAAAATTTCAAGATGAATGAATCAGATAGAATATTGTTACTAGGAGTTAGCGGGAGAGGGACTTTCCCCAAATATCCAACAGGGATATGTGACATCAATGGTTTTTGACCCTTTCCCCTTATATAGAACATGTATTTGTTTTTGAGACTTTTCCTAAAGCTTGTCAAATTCACAGAAATTGTTTAGCCTCCCTCCCTGCATAGTATTAATTCCTAACCCTAAGCCAAGTTTCCTATACAGGAGGTCTGTGTGATAAGGGATGGCATGACCGATCATCCAAACTGTCGGTGTTACGGAGTCTAACAGAAGAGAGCAGGCATTGACATACCACTTGCAAGTCTTTGATTTCCTGCAAGACACCCTCAGTTATTGTGACACAACTAAACCGGCTGATAGCATCTCTTAGCTGAAGGCCAATGAATGCAAATTTGCAAATTTGGAGCTGTTGCTGAGGACTGTCGTCCTCACGCAAAATTGCCTTTAGGATAGACATAAAATTGTGGCAGATCTTTTTCGTCTCTTTCCCTGTGAATCGATAGGAGAGGGATCCCTTCTGTCCCTGGGAGCACCACTTTTTAACCTTCTTGTACAATCTACTAGCCCCAATTTCTTTTCAATGTAAAAAGTCTTACAATCTATGACAGTCTATGTCACCCATATCAGAAACAAGCTTTCGTGCATAGCACTGCATTGAGAGGTGAGATTCACTACAATTTGCTCCTGCAAGAATAAAGTTGCCAGTTTCACTTGCAATTTGCTAACCTACATTGAGGAATGATACAAGCCAAGAAGTGGCCTCGTCATCTTTGCCCAAGGGGGCCCCATCAGCACCTAGAGTTACTCTTAAGTGATACGGTTCGGATCCAAAATGACTCAGGGATGGACTAGTCTTATCTAAGCAAATATACATATCAGGAAGCTGCAACAGAAATGGTTGTAGCTCTCTATATGACCCTTCCACAACTTCATCTGCATCTAAATCATAGCAAAAATGTTTGAAATCATTAACATTTCCAACATCAATGCTTTTGACAAAAGTTATCAATTTCTAATGGGGCAAGATCTTCGGCAAGCAAACACTTGACATGAACTTAAAGCTTTCCAGTTTCTTGCCACTTTTGCGAGTATTCATGGAAAGATTGAGCCTAATACTTTTATATTTCTCCTTACTCAACAACCCCTTGCTATAGAATACTCTTAGGCTTCTAATTTTATTGTCAAAGCTATTCTCAAAAGTTGGAATACTTTCCTTCACTACGCGAGGTAAAACTTTCTTCATTACTTTCTTAGGTAAGGAAAAGTACTTTCCCAACTGAAACGGTGTGGCTTCCTTAACTAAATTCAACCACAAAGCATCCAGTATTGGACTTCTATTCTCCCCTGTACCACCATGGATTTCATAACAGGCATTGATAGTCTCCCTTGTACATCTTTGGCAAGTTCTTTTTGCAACAGGAACTTCATATTCTTCGGAAACCTTTTTCTTTTCAGAAGTTTTCTTTTTCTTACAATGTCAGTCTCAATTACTCTTTTTTTCCCTAACTCCACATCATTCTGGATTCTTTCAACCTATGAAAGATTTGCCGGATAGTTAAATTAATCCACAGTCCCAGATTTTCTAACCTAAGATAAATAGAATAGCAAAATCCTGAAAAGAACTTGAGTCAGAAAATTCATACATCAATGTATGAGACTGTGCTAAAATTTAAACAATTTGCAACTTGAGAAAAATCACATAAGATACTGAACTCAGTAAAGCTGAGGCACATTTTGGATCACAACTTTTGTTGTTCATATTTGCAGTTCCCACAGTTTGAAATAAATTCCTCTTTGAGCATTTTCCGCCTACGGGCAAGTTCCCCGATTGGAAACTTTTTCTTTGCTATTGTCTTGGAGCTTCTTGCTCTCTTCCTACCCTTCCTTGGCATTTTCAAAAGCAACGAGCAAGCTCACTCCCAGTTGTACTAATCCAGCTAGGAATGAATCTGGTTCTGCTTCAACACTGGTCAACACGGCCAGATTCCAGCTTTCAGCTAGCACGGTACCAATTTACAGAAGCTGAAAAAAATAAATCTACATTCAGCAAACACAATGTGCAAATACAATGTCTATCACAGAAATCTGTCATTTTTATCCATTGTTGTCTTCGTCCTTTCGTTGGTAGGATCTTTGTTGGTGGCTTGTAATCTGGTTTTAGTATCGTTCAGCATTTGAATTTCATTTAGGAAGGCTTCATTCTGTACTATCTTGATCATTTGCCGCTCAGCATGTTCTAGTTCCTGGAAATCAACTGGCTTGCATATAGCCATCCCTTCATTTCTCTCCTATATGTTCTGTCCTCTAACTTGTGGTTCATTAGCAGCTGTCTTCTGGAACCTTTGTCGAAATTGGAGACAGACTGCAATTGCTCTCTTTACTTGATGCCTGTTGGAGAACTAGGTCAGGCACTCCAATAGAGAGTATAGCTTTGGTTCTTGGATCTGGGTTGCTCTCACAGAAACGTTCTTGACTTCCAGATCCCTAGGAGGGATTGAGGGGATGTTGTCTACAGAATCCTAGTCCTTAAGTGAGTTCTAGAGAAAACCTGGCCCATTCCACCAGAAAGGGTTGTTGGTTAGCTTTTGGGCCCCAGCACCACAGTAGGTGATATCTGCAGGATTAGATTTTGTTCCAACATAGTGCCACTGATTAGAGAATGTTTGCTCTTGTATTTCCTAGACACTGAAGAAATACACTCCTTGTTGCTTGACACGGTTTTAATTATACAACAATGTAGGAGTCCTACAATACAAATAACAACTGGACTATACTAAAATACATTCTTTATATGCAACGTAAGATTGCTAACCTACAATAATAAAGTGGTAAGTAGAGTTCCGATCCAACATAAATAGAGAAATACATATTTCCTTGAATGTAACAGGAAGTTAACACAAAATGGCTGACTCCCTTGAGCCGCTCAGCGGTTATGATATTTCCTAGGCCCTGGCAGCCAGGTCAAGTCTCTTCATCCCCCCTAGTCCAGGAACCTGATGGGGGTTGCTGGACTCAGCGTTCTATCCATTGGCCTGTCTTGGGTTCATAGAGTTTTGGTGGTCGCTGTTCACGGTGCGGGCGGCCGTGTTGAGGCGAGAAAGAGAGGGGCTGTGGTTCTTGCATTGTTGCTCCAGAATCTGCCCTGTCAAGTGGTGGGTCAAGCATGGATATCTGTGTGGGGTGTAGCTCTATGGTTGTAGGCAGCAGGGGAGAGATGTTGCATGTGCTGTCTTTGCAGGGTGCTGGTGCTGCCTGGCTGATTCCAGGTCCCAGCGCGCTGTAGGGAGGTGGTGATGTCATGGCAGGCTGTAGTTCGTTGGCGATCAGTGTGTACACTTGCAAGAAGCGGCGGTTTCATAGTGTCAGTCGTTGTGATCCGTCTACTTTCACCCTGTACTGGTTGTTGCCTGTTTACTCTACAAGCAGTCCTGACCTATCCCACTTGTTGGAGTGGAGGTCCCGTTGGTTCTGCAGGAATACCCGGTCACTAGTGGCCAATGGTCGAGGCAGACGTGAGTGGGGTCATAAACTCTCGGTGGTTCAGGAGATCCTGGTCTGTAGAGCTTCTTCTTTTGTTGTGGGTTTGAGAATTTCTGTAAGCGGTTAACAAATGAGAGTGAGACCTGTTGGGGGTGTCCAGAGATGATTTCAGCAGGCAAGAGGTTGCAGTCACGGTTGGGGGTGTTACGAAGCTGCAGGATTGCTTGGAGGAAGCGGTCCTGGTCTAGGCTTCCTGTTGGGCCAGTATTAGACATCAAGAGCCTCTTAGCAGCTTTAACAGCTACTTTGGCTCTACCATTGGATAAGGGTGAGGCTGCAGATGACACACAATGTTGCACATTCCAAGACCGGAGGAAGTTCTCTGGGATTGATACTGTGAATTATGGGCCACCGTCGCTCCAGAGTTCTTCTAGTACACTGAAGGTGGTGAAAAACTTGCGTAAGTGAAGGACTAGGCCAGGAGATCCTCCTAGGTTAGTTCGTGAGGTAGAGCTTAGCACTTCTACCCATCCTGAGAGGTGATCTCCCACAATTAGGTAGTGGTGGCCACCGTAATCAAAGAAGTCGGCAAAGATTTCGTCAAATGGAGTGGATGGGGGTGTGGAGGGTTTTGGTGGTGTGGCTGCTTGTGATGGCGTGTTGCAGTTGCATTCGGCATATCTGTTTCTTGTCTCTTCAATGTCCTTCGACATACCAGGCCAGTAGACAATAGCCCTTGTGCGTTGTTCCATTGTAGAGACTCCCTGGTGGGCTGAGTGAAGATGCTGTAGGACATTGTGGCAGAGGGATTCTGGTACCACAACACGGTGGTTGTACATCAGTACACCATCTTGTGAATAGATTGATGTACAGACATAGCCCTGCAAGGGCCGGGTCACTGCTGTCTATGTTACCGATAAAGATTTATCTCTGGCAGTCGCATCAGCAATCAGGGACCGGTGGATAACAGTGGCTTCTTCAGCATGGCTGCAAATGGTAGCCATCAGTGCTAACTCGGCCATGTCAGCGTTGCTTGGAGTCCCAAGTGTGAAATCTTTTACAGAGCCTGATGGAGAAGGGTGTCTGGAGGTGGCATCAGTGGCTTGATTGTATTGTCTGTGGTGGTGTACGATGTCGAAGTGCCATGGTAGGGTCCTCTGCTTTAGTCTGAAGAAACCTGAATTTGAAATTTCATCAAGAGTCCGATCGCCGAAGATTTTCACCAGCAGTTTGTGGTCAGTAACGATGATGAGATTGTCACATCCTTGGGTGAAATATTGTGTTTGCTCAAGAGCCCATGCCACTGCAAGGGCTTCTCCTTCAATAGCTGCTGCTCTTCAGAGGAGAGGAACGGTGAGCCCGCAAGGGTAATCTTCCATCCACCCTGGCAGCAATTGGGTACTCTAGAGGGGCAGCGCAATGTTGTTGAAGCAGCAAGTACCCTATGCCTTGGCTGGACCAATTGGGGGAGAGGCAAGTACATCTTTTCAAGTTGAAGATCTCCACACCCTCACGAATAGCTTCGATGATGCTCTTTTTGGATGTTTGGAAGGCCGCTTCCAACTCAGGGGACCATGCGAACTTGTGGCGTGGGCTCAAGAACGGCTTGAAAGGTGCCATAGTATCATGCAGTTGTGTGTAGTTTGTCACTTGGTTGACAAGGCCAACTAGCTTCTGACGTCTGTTTTGGATGCTGGGGTGGGGAAGTCCCTGATGGCATCAAAGCACTTTGGGAGGGGTTTGATTGTCGTGTCCAATACCCTGAAGCCAGCGAAGTTGACATTCTTTTGGGCAAACTGGAACTTATCTGGGTTTAATACAATGCCAGACTGTCCTACCCAAGTGAGAAAGTCGATGGTCCTCCACGAATGCTGTTTTAAATCTGCGTCGTAGTGGATGGTGTCTTCTACGCAATCGAATTGCCGATTGTAGCCATCAGTGCTATTATAGCACCAGCAACCAAAAGGTGTGATGAATGTTGTCAGATGACGATCAGATGTGCGCAGCGGGACACTGTGATAGCCATTCCAGGTGTCAGTCACTGTCTTCCAAGTGTCCTTTGGTACTCGACGGGCTAGGTGAAAAGCGAATTCCATGGCAAACATTTCAGGTTGGTAGAACTTATTGAGAGAGGAGAGGTCCACTGTCCAACGGGGAGAGCTGTTGTGTTTCCTGGTGACCACCACACGGTGGCACCATGTCACTGGTTCTCCATATGGAATGCATTCAACTACTCCAAGCACTTCATCACAGAGGAGGTCCTCATACACTTTCTTTTGCCAGTGAATGGGTATGGTTGCTGGAGTATGCAATGCCTTTGCTGTGGCAGTGGGGTCCGCATGTTTTTCGATAGGTGGGCCATCCATGCATGGCAATGCCTGGTGAGGGCAGGTATTGAAGGCTGATGATGCGCATCTCTCGAGGAGCCAGGTTTTCATCTGTTTGTTGTTTTCTGGGATGAAAGGAAATGGCAGCTCAGCAGGACGTAATGGTGGGGCCGTTCGCTGGGGACATGAGCACGCGGCATGACTGGAAGTTTGTGGTCCTTCACAGCCATTGTTGATGAACCGATTGGCGTTGGTTGACAGGGGTGCGGGTGTCGCATTGAGGCGGTTCGTCGCACTATTATTCTGTGTGCCTTCAGGTGAGGGGAACTTCTTTGATAGTAGGCCGAGGTTAAGCAGCGACTTATATGACAGGTACATAGCTCTGATGGAGCTGCTGATGTACACCATTGAATGGCTGGATGTGGTTTTGCCACTCGGTAATGTTGCAACCAGTTTGGCAAAGAATGCACCTTCTATTCTAATGGGAGTACGGTTGGCTGCTGTTAGACTGAGGCAAACAGGGTGCAGGTCATCACGTGAGAATCCACATGAGAGGTATTCCTCTAAAGACCACAGATTGGATTGTGTTCCTGTGTCTGCAATGGCTGTAGTGGTCACTTGGGTGCTATGGGCTTTCTCTGTGATAGTGGCTGGTTTGTCAACAGAAATGGTTATGGTTACTGTTGGGTGGTCTTTGAGTTGGGCCTGCCACCATTCACCTTTAGTGAAGATGTGATGGTCCAGTCTGTTAGGCATGGTTCTGTTCATCGTGCAGCTTGCACTTTCATTGTTTCTATGGCGAATGGCGAATGGTGTATTGCTGTCACTTGAGAAATAGGCTCTGACTTGATGGCCTGAACAGTGGCAAGTTGTGGGCGTATCTTGCATCATCGCACCCCATAGCAATTTATGCATATCTGGTGCAGTTTCTTATTCCAGCCGCATGTTCATTATGTGAGGACCTTGAAGGAGCCCATACATTCAGGGCATGTGGCTTCTCTATTCTGATCCACTTGGGATGGGATAAGGGTAGGACTGGCCTGGGTCTTGAGGCATTGGAAGGCTGACAGTGCTGAAAGGTTTGACATGGGTAGGGCATTTTGCACTATTTCCTTCTGTTCTACAAGAGCGATGACGTCATTCACTGGTTTGCTCAAGATGTCTAATGTTCCCAGTACCTCCTTGTGGATGTCGGGGTCGTAGAGGCCATTAACTAAAACATTGCGGATGATGTGATCAGTGTAGTCAACAACCTCGCCACACCCACATGTAGTGCCGTAGGAGCATGTTTCTGCTTTGCCACATACTTGTGTGGAAAAGGTGCAGAATGCTTCATCCCATTCTTGGTGCATCTGAAGAAGTTCAGTGCATAAGACACAGGTGGCTACTGGGCTCACCGCTGGTGAACGCATGGCAAGGAGAAGGTCTTCAGTGGCTGCAAGGTGACATGTGGGTTGGCCTTTAGTAGGCTGTCACAGAGTGTAGGTCCTGCACATTGGAACAATTGGGACAGGGTAGATGGGCCGTCCATGTCAGATCCTGATTGGAATACTTCCCACCTGCAAACAAAGATGTTCTACTCCTCTATGGAAATGCCAACATCAATTGTTGGCTGTTCGAGTTTCAGGCCTCGTGATGCCTGGGCCTGGGGTGGTGCAGGAGGTGTGGGAGATGTGAGAATTTGGTGAGCTAGTCCGTGATTGTTGAGCAAAGCAGAAGGATCTTATAAGCTCACAATAAAAACGATGCATATACCTGGAGATGATATGCAATGTAAGATGGCTAACTTACAATAATAAAGCGGTAAGTAGAGTTCCGATCCAACGTAGATAGAGAAATACATATTTCCTTGATTGTAACAAGAATGTAAACACGAAATTGCTGACTCCCTTGAGCCGGTCAGCGGTCATGATAGTTCCTAGGCCCTAGCAGCCAGGTCAGGTCTCTTTAGACACAATTGCCAATGAAGACCTGGAATCTTCTGGTGTCATCGATGTAGCCCAACACCATCTTACTGTTGATCTTTGATGAGACGACGGCAGCAGTCTGTTTTAGTCTGGGTGTGGTCACTGGCTTAAGGGGCATTACCCATGACTTTCCCATCACCATAGAGCAATGGATGCAGTTCATGTCATCAACCAATGACATGTAGAAACACTGCCCATTGCCATTCTGAGAGGCGTGAGGGAAATGGTGCAGCTCTACGTTCTTAACTTCATCAAACTCTTGAGGCTTGTAACATCTTGGTACTCTGAGTCTTTCTAAAATGGGAAGTTCTGCTCTTCACTTTTCCCATTTGGGTCGCAAGTCATCAGGAACTGCATTATCCCAGCCTACACTATCACAGCACAGCTCTTGCGGGATCTGCTTCCCTACCAAAATGAATGGAGCAATAAAGCCAAGGGAGTCAAATACTGAACTGACAGTTTACAGGATTCCCCTTCTTGATAGAGGTCTATCTGGTAAGGTGATCCTGAACTGGAGTGTCTCAAATTCTATGCACCAACGAACACCCAGGGCACATTCAATAGCTCTGGGCCAATAGACAATAGGTCAATAGACTGGGCCCTGGAATAGTTCTTGATTTAGAGATTGACAATGGCATAGTGCACTGCAGTCAAACACAACTCTTTTCTTTCCCAGTATCTTCTTATGATAACCTCCATGATGTGGAATGTACCACTTGTTTGGTAGTTGTCAATATTTCATCAATGGGAACTCTCTGCATAACCATTAGATATGATGTCCTTCATGAAGCTGCAGTAGTCCTTTCTGAACTGGTCGTTACTTCACAACCTTTATCTTAACTTTTAAGGCAACTTAGGGCTAGCTCCTTGTTATTTGGCAGCTCCAAATTTTCATTTTACAAAGGCAGTGGCATGTCAATGGTCGTATGACAATTGATGGATTCCTTCATGCACTATTCTCAGAAAGCTCTGTCTTCAACGGACAGGGTTTCTTGTCAGCTTGACGTTTGTTGAAGTTGAGAGTAAACATCTTGGACACATCGCTAGGGCTGATCATTTCTTTAACTTGTATTTTGAATGGAAAGTGGCACATCTCTCTGTTTGGTGTTGCTTGAACCTCACAGGTAATGATGCGGTGTCATGCAATGTCAATCTCAATTTCAGAATCCTATTCCCTCAATGATCTTATAGCACCAATGATTCCCCATCCAAGGGCTGTTCTCTTAGCATGTGGATCATCTCCCTTTCCTGGCATACCTCTAGTGCCGTAATTGCTCAAGAGCAGTTGAGGTCAATCAGAAGTCCAACTCCCACGTCTTTGTTTAAGGGCATGATCTTCTCTGAAATCTTCTGAAGATGAGGCCAGATCAGAGCAGAATCAGGTCTTGGGATGACTCTTCCTGGCTGGTATAGAGGATCTTGAGTAGCTTTTGGGCAGACGAATTTCTACATCTTTGTTATAGCCATGTACAACTAGGCCTTTGATCCTCTGGCTTTTGATAACCTTCTCTGAAAGGACTGTTGATAGCTTCAGTTTGACTTTGGGTCCGTTCACACCTGATCCTATAAGAAGATTTTCCTTCACAAAACAAGCATCAGACTGCTCGTCCAAAAGGGTACAGATAAGCAACTACTTGCTGATATTCTTTCTATGATGTATCCATACAGGAACTATGAGGGAATGCATGCAGGATAGCTTTACATTCTTCATATTGCAAAGGTTAACATGGTGTGAGGTTGCCTCTGGGGTATTTCTTGGATGACTATTCCACTTGGTCTCAATGGGAACAGGATCGCTGTAAAGGGAAGTTGGGTGGAAGCCATTGCAAGTTTTGCAAACTAATCTTCTTCTACAAACTCTTTTCATGTGCCCCCACTTCAGAAAGCCCAAGCAGAGTGCATTCATCTTTATAAAATCTCTTCTTTCGGCCAAAGACTTCTTAAGGAACTGGAAAAACATTACATTGGGCACCAGTGTCCAGTTTCATGTTCAGCTGGAGATAATTGATGACCACATTTTGTATCCAATCTTTCTGTTTACATGAATTAGTTCCTAACACCCTAGTGAAGAATTCACCCTTTTCTGAATCATCCAACTTGCATTCATCTACTAGTTTAGAGCTGTCCCTTGGCTTTGAAAAGCACATTTATACGTAATGGTTTCTTTTCTGACATTTGTGGCAAATCTGATTGTATGCTGGACATTTCTTGGGCTCATGATTTTGTCCACAATTTTTACAGTTGAACCGTTTCTTTATTTGCTTGGGCTTTCTTTTTCCCCCATCAGGTTTCCCGGGTGGCTTTAGTAGTAATAGTGTGGCGGTATAGCGTGCAACCAATCAGAATCGAGTATTTTGATCACGTGATACAAATGAACCAATCAGAATCGCGTATTTTGCATTCCATTCTGATGACGTCACAAAAACCGCGTGGGCGCCTGAGCACTAGTTTAATGGGAGAAAAGCGGTTTGCAATCGCGCGTCGGCCATTTGCCATTTACTCCTTATTATTTTACTGACTGACAACCGCAGAATTTTTTCCGAGTATCTCACACTATCAGTTTGTTGTGATTACCTTGCATGCTCTTTCAAAGTAAAGAGAAATAAGAAGGTAAAATTTTATTTTTATGATAAGATGACATAACCAAAAAAAAAATTTATTGTGCAAATTTTTTTGTTTTTTTTTTTTTTTTTTCTAGTGAATAAAAAATTTTTTTTAATGTGCGAATTTGTTTTTTTGAATGAATTGATGTCAAAGTTCTGTTCAAAGCGTTGTTTTACATATGGAGGCGTTGTTATTTATTTCGTTTTATTATTTTAAAATTCATTGTAAAAAAAATGTTATTTTGTATGAAAAGAAGTTTTGTTTTATTGAAGAAAATTGTTTTTGATGAGTCCTTTTATGAGATTGTTTTGTTGTTGATTCAGCTTTTTTCCTGCACGTGGTTGCTTCTGTTCTTGCAGGCGGGAAGGTTGTGTAATGTCTTATCTGATTTGAGGTTTTTTTTATTCATTTGATGATTTTTTTTCAATGATTTGATGAGATACAATCACGGTTTTTTCCCCCTGTTTATTTTTGTGAGATTTTCTGTCTTGTTTTTTTAAGAAGAGGAAGGTTTTTTTCCTGTTGATTTGTAAAAAAGGTTTTTGTTGAATGAATTGGATTGTTTGTTGAATGAGTTGTAGGAGAATTTGTTTTTTTTCTGATTCCAATTTTTTTTAATGGGATTAAAAAAATTTTATAGTATGAAAGAAGTTTTTTTTGTCCTTTTTTCATTCATCGTAATCATGGATGAAAAAAAAGTAGACAAAATAAACGAGTTTGAAAAAAAAGGAATGATAGTAGTGGTATCCGCTCACTCAGGGCTGATTTTTTCGAACTCTCCCAATCTGACTTATGACGTAAATGATGATTCTAGTTAGGAGAATTGATTTTTTGATCCTATGACGTCATCACTATCACCATAACAACCTGACCTATGACGTTATCAGTTCTAGTTAGGAGTATTGATTTTTTGATCCTATGACGTCATCATTATCACCATAACAACCTGACCTATGACGTCACCAATTCTAGTTAGGAGTATTGACTTTTTGATCCTATGACGTCATGACTATCATCCTGACAACCTAAAAGTGAGTTGGGTTCGAATGAATATATATCTGTCACGTTTCGATCTTTCCAATTTATTTGGTAGCCTAAAAAAAATGCGCATGCGTAGTTCTTGTTTTTTTTGTTTTTTTGTTTTTTGTTTTTTTTTTACTTGAAAGGGGAATGGTAACTGGTTTCGGGGGTTGTGGTATGTGTGACACATGTAATTCTTTACGCATGTGTACAAGATTAAATAATGTTTGTTAAATATTTGTTACAATGTTTATGGCAATTAAAAAACTTGATGCCTAGCAAAGTAAAAAGAGACTGCTGACATAATTTGTAGCATGGCTTGCAGTAACTCTTCTTGGGTAATCTCTCCATGAATGCAACTTGTTATTAAAAACACACTTTTCTAAAGAGAGCAAAAAATTCATTTTAAAATAATGTATGCGACATGATCAGGATCATGGTTCTTCTAAACTCACCCTCAATAAATCTCTACGAACCACGAGGGAGGTAAAAACTTTCCTTCTAGTTTACAAGTGTTACATGTTTGACAGGGACATCTATTAATTTCTAACTGGAGAAAAAACCAAACACTCACCCTAAGGTGTCTATTGTATCGAGTGGGCTCTATAGACACAGCACGATATGCATTCACAGAAGAACCATAATCCCCATACATATTTCTAAAAAAAATTTTGACAAAAAACCTATTGGTTTTGATTGGGTTTTAGAGATAACAATGGATTGGCCTACACCCGTGAATTTCAACATACTCGCACAAGAAACAAGTACAATGGGGATAAATGCCGTAATCTGCATTTCTTGTATGCTGTGGGAAAGAGAAAAAATGATACCTTATGGAACATTCCCATGAAAATAAAAAATCACCAATTCATGAGGAAAAGCCACCAAGGAGGCACCATATCATAGTCCCGATAATATTTATAACCTCTACATATACAATGGTTTCTGTGAAGAGAGGCACACCCATAGAGGTCATGGAGGTGAACAACCCGATTGAACTATAGATTAAAAAACTGACCTGAATACCCAACGAGGAATGTGGCGAGGATAATATTTTATGAGGTAACAATGTCTCCACAGCCCGCGAACGACATTCAATCTTGCACAAGTTTGGGACTTAAAAACCACAAACAAAAAGAACATACCTTAGGCAAGAAAGATACAAGATCCAGCTAGGAAAAATATCAAGCGTTTTATGCCATGTACACGCTTCGCAGGAACACGTCTTAGGGGGTGCAAAAAAAAAAAAAAGCCGAGTCTTAGAAGGTACTATTTAATGTTAAATAAAAAAATGACAAAACAAAAAACTTACCAAATGCCTGTGTACTTTTTTGCACTGCTTGGATTTTTTGTCAATCATGTGATTGGTCCATTTGCGGATTATACTGTTTCGTTCTTTGGGTGGTAACGCATCAGTGAAATAGGTCAACTGAAAAAAAAAAAACAAACCAATCATTTACTCGGGAAAAAAAATACTTTTCAATAAAAAAGCATACTCACGTCGTCCCATGTTTGAAACATCAATCTTGTTTTGTATGACTTGGAGCAAGATGATCAATTTGATTTCCAATGGACATCTTTCAAAGTTCATCCGTAGTCGGATCTGCTCTTTGGAAAGGACTGGAAACGGTAAGCTGGCGACCATCCTTACGCGACCAAGGGAAAGACTAAAATGAGATCCAATAGACGTGTGACAGTCCTTTTTAATAGTAGTGACATGAGGAGACGACGCTTGATACGACACCATCTAAAAATAGGAAGGGTATTGTTTTCTCCGCGTCCTACCATATATGGGAAACGACCCTTGATACGACGCCATCAAAAAAAAATAGGAAGGGTATTGTTCTCTCCGCGTCCTACCATATATGGGAAACGACCCTTGATACGACGCCATGTAAAAATAGGAAGGGTATTGTTCTCTCTGCCTCCTACCATATATGGGAAACAACCTTTGAGACGACGCCATGTAAAAATAGGAAGGGTATTGTTCTCTCCGCGTCCTACCATATATGGAAAACGACCCTTGGATTGTGTAGTAAGAATACGTGATTAAGAGTATTTCAATACCAAGAGCGAACATGATATATTTGAACGCATCCCGAGGACCCACCGAGGACTGAATCAAGCGCATACAAGACAAGTACAAAAAGAAATATTAAACCTATCGTGAGAGAGGGGGTAAGATAAGTAGAAACGATTGGGCACACGCTACGCACGCAACAGTAAGACCAGACCTGTGTTGCATCATGTAACTTTTATTACACTTTGATTTGACACGTCCATTCTTCTAATTGTATCTTGATAATGTACTCCCCCTTCTTATCGATGTCCTTCAATAACCTGTTTTTTAAAAATAAAAAAATGTTACATTAAAAATAGCATTATGATTTTTGTGTAAAATTAAATAAATGATAATCACCGTTGCACCAAAGCTTGCAATCTCGTTTTCATGACTTCCATGGTTGTTTTCACGATGGAATGAAGTACCACAAGGAAATGATTGTTCGGGGAGTCCACAAATAACACGTAAAGCGTAACCATCTGTAAAGATAAAAAAAAAGCATACCTCTTTCATTTTCAATAGTTTTTTCAAGTGTCTCTTTTTCTCGCAACTATGTCTCTTATTTTCTCGGACCTTTTCACGTTTCCGTTCTTCATTCAAGAGTCTCGCATGTCTCGCTCCTTTCTTATTTTCCTACAAGAGGTGTACCAGTTCCACGACGCTGGTGGTAATGGGACGTTCCGGGTGCTTTTTGCCTTCTGCCAATAATGTAAGGGTTTCTTCTACCACGTCCCGATCGTAACCCAAAAGATAGTACGCGTTCTTGTTCTCCATGATCGGTGTAAACAAATTTTGGCGAGGGGTGTGTGCCGTGTGTTTTTTATAATCTATGACACGTGATTCTCTTAAGGGGTACCCGCATCCCTGGAGAGAACAATACCTTTCCTATTTTTAACACGGCGTCGTATCAAGGGTCATTTCCCATATATGATAGGACATGGAGAGAACAATACCCTTCCTATTTTTACATGGCGCCGTATCAAGGGTCGTTTCCCATATATGGTAGGATGCGGAGAGAACAATACCCTTCCTATTTTTACATGGCGTGGTCTCAAAGGTCGTTTCCCATATATGAGAGGACGCGGAGAGAACAATACCGTTTCCTATTGCATTCCATCATGGCTCTAAGAATCTGGAATGTCGCGTTTTATGCGTGTTTTTAGCTACTAGACTGTACCACGTGGGAGAATATTTCACATGCGTCCAAGCCTCCATGTCGCCAACTAATAACGGGACAGTTTTTTGGTATCGTTCTCTCCAGTTTGTGTAAGTAATCATGACGTCCCTTAGAGTATGTCCCTTGGCTTGTAATTCCTTTCCCAAATCCACGTACTCGAACCAATGAGTGAAAAGATGAAGTTGTTTTGTGGAATGTTCTTGTTTTCGGGAAAGGCCTTAATGCTGCTACCGTTGCTGGGAAGAGTGACGTAAAATCCGGATTCGGGGTAGGAGGTATTCATTGCGTCGCTAAGTAAAGTCAAGAATGAGACATGGGTACGTTACAAACCTAATTTTATTTTACCCTGCATGATCTTTTTCACAATCTTTTTGGTCATTGACTTTTTTCCAGGAAATCAATTGATACCCGCCACCATTTTACGATCGGCTATCAATTTGTCTTTGTGACTTGTGGCGCGAGAATAATCGATATTGTGCTGTTTGGTGAGTTGATCTAAACAGTTTATACCAGGATCCCCGCGTTTCAATCTTTTTTCTAGTTTTGTGTCCGACCCCATGTACTGGTACCCCAGCCAGTGAAACTCTACTCCCAATTTAGAGTTCCATTTTTGAATGTCCAATCCTCCACCTTGCTGGCGTGTTCTCTTCCTGGAAGGATGACGACCACCACCTCCAGATTGAGGACATCTTTTAACCGGTCTTTTTTTTCTTGCTCTTCCCTTTCCCCTTTTTCCCCTTCCCTTGGCTCGTGCTCTGTGCGTATTGATCTTTGTCATCTTGAAATGCTTGATAGGGATCGTATCCTCTCTTTTCCCAAGGTTCCCACGAACCGAACTCTTTCAATCGTTTGACTTCAGTTTGTTTACGTTTTTTCTTAGGCTTTGGCTCCTCCTTCTTTACTGTCAAAGGTGTTTTGGTGATTTGGGGGACAATGGATTGTGTGTTGGTATTGATGGATTTTACCAATTTCTTTCAACAGTCTTTCTTGTAACCCATCCATCTTGTCGTCGTCGACGGGGGGTTGAGGGACTCCAGGGGCAGTCATGGCTACTGAAGGTCCTTGTCATAGTTTATTGTTTAACATGTTTTTTTCATTCAACATCTCTTTTACCATACTTTTTATCATCTCTCTTTATGTCGTGATTTGCATTGGATATTCGAATGGGACTGGAATCCATTTATCTCTCTCTCTCTATCTGTAGCAACGGATACAACCTTCATGTTTCAATAAGTGACTCAGTAATCTTCTATTGTCTGGAGTAGCGGGATGTACATCCAACAATAAATAACTGAAGGGACATTCCGTACATGCGTTATATTGCTCCAACGGGTCTTTCCAAGTCGTGGGATACATTTGAAATAGGAGCGTGCGCAAGGCCACCTGGTCCCTAGGATTTTTGAACGCCACTATGTATTGGGCATTCCTAGAGATGGTCTTGGCATATTTTCCGCGATGGAACATGTCTTGACATAGATAAAACACGGTGACGTTCATGTGATGCGAATACTGAGTGAAGAGATTTAGGATATCTTTGTTGTTTCCTCCTTCGGCCATGAGATCGTCCAAGATCAAGAGGCCCCCTTTTTTGTCCCCAAACCATTCTTTCAATTGTTCGTGGGTAGGTACACCTTCGTGGAACGTCACGCCTTCCTTTTTTAGGATGTCAAAGGTCGGTTGCCACGACCCGTAACAGTAGACGATTCTTCTGGAGGGCGTGGCGAGAAGGTCCTCATTTTCCAATAAGAGACGTTTTAGGAAGGTGGTCTTTCCACAGTTGGAGGGTCCCACGACCAAAATGTTCGAAGGAGTATGGTGGCCCATTGTTATCATAGCAAAACCAGCTGGAGATGCTTCCTTAATTTAAAAAGAAAGGAGAATAAAGCATACGGATGTGATAAAAAAATTAAAAAGAAAGAACTAAAATTAACAAAAATAATAATAAGAAAAAACAAATTGGGCAAAAATATTAAAAATAAAAATTGATGACCTATTTAAACAAAAAAAAGAATAAATAAAAACAAGCATAAAAATAAAATAAAAAAATAAAAGTAAAATTTAAAAAAATAAAAGTAAAAGGAATCCAAAAAATAAAAAAAATTGAATTTAAAATAAAACATTAAAGAAAACGGGAGCTACTGAAGAAATTCAATAAAAAAAGTAAAGGAAGATTAAAAATTAAAAAATAAATAAAAGTTAAAATTAAAGAGAAAAATAATTTTTAAAAATGAATAGGATAAAAACCTTAAGTACAAATGTAAATCAATTTCAAGTTTACTATGATAACGCTGGGCCGAACTAAATATCACCATATTTGTTCCCAAAATGAAATGTTCGAAAGCAGTCCATTGTTATCATAGCCTGCGACACGTAACGTCAGTGGACAACCTAGTTCCCAGCTTCCTCTCTCTTTCTCTTCTCTCAAAATGGCGGTCCGCATTCGTTGCTCAGAGTGGGAGAGTGACGAGCAACTGAAGAGCGACTTTGAGCGCTATGTGTCAGCAAACTATTCCAGGCAGGAGATACTGGATTTTGCTAGTCGGGACTTCCCTGGGTATGCCTGGAGTCTGCCTACACTTAGCAGAAGATTACATTTTTCGGAATCAAATACGTTTACATTTAAAATTGTTTTAAGAAAACATGGTTTCCTGAGTTTAACAGATGTCTAGAACTTTCCAGGACCAGTGTTCTTTTTCAGGACTTTCCAGTCCTGGCCAGTCCTTGAAAATAAGAAAATAAAATTCCAGGATTTTTCAGGTTTTCCAGGACCAATACGAATCCTTTTTTAATTAATGACCCACCACTTAGTATCGATTCAATGAATTCAATGAGAAACAATGTGTAAAAAGCGGGGATAGTTAAATTAATTTATGGACAGCTTGAGAGATTAAATCATCAATATTATACTTCAATAGAGAGAGAGTGGCCAATACCGAAATTTTCAGGGCAGATATGTTGATCCACTCACTAACAAGTTATTAACGGTTAATGTTCAAGTGCTCATCAAGTGCAATTTCCTGTATTGTATAGGTTTGCAAGTCACTTTAGAAGCACTGGATGAGGTTGCTTCATTATCAGGTGTCAAGTCAGTTGGAGATGACTACTTACCAAAAACTCTGAGAGAGAGCTGTGAACGAATTATTCCCAATATTGATGGGGTGAAGCCAGCCGAGGCAGCAGATGCCTATCTTTTCTTAAAGGAGAAGTACAAAGAGTCCTCACCATCAGCATCATCATAAAAGTGCATTTTATTGTAACTTTTTTCCTTATACCGGTAGTTCAAATGTGTAAAAAACATTGTCCAACAAATGGTCCAAGCACAAAGAACTACAGACTTAGTAACATTCATGGACGTTGTAAAAAATGCCAGTGATAAAAAAGATTTGTTATCTTAAATGAACTGTTCCATGCCATGTTCTCCTCCCAATGGTCTGTGAGAAGCATGAAGTAAGGTTTAAACTAACAGCACAACACTTGAAAGGCAGTCACTGAGCTGCTATCTTGATAAAAGGTGGAAGGTGAATTATGCTCCAGTAATCCATTCTCTTACTGACTTAGTTCCATCATCTTACAGTAGGCATTGCATTCATGTTCATTGAGAAAGCATGTGATGCCCACGGATGAATAATTTCTACAGCAGAAATAGTATTCTAAGCTGCTGGCATCCATGATATCATTTGTTGCTATTTCGGGATCATTTAAACAGTAGCCAGATCCCTGTATATCAAGTAACATGAGTTGTTGGTTGGATGATTCATAGGTATAGTGAACCAGGCCCTCTGCTTTGGCCAACAAATCTTTCAAATCTTTATCTGCATCTTCAGGCAGATCGGCCTTCTTGCCATTATTATTAATCAGTTTGGCAAAGAGGCCTGGAACAAATTCCTCAACTGTCGCTGGTTTCTTGTCTATTGTGGTGTAGTATACATGGTTGTACTGAAAACACTTTCCCATTTCTTGTGGTGCCTGTGACTGGAACTTCTTTGTTAAGTGCCTAGCTACCTCATGCATTTGTACTTGCCTATGACAATGGCTCTCTATATTAGTTTTCAATTGAGTACTAATTACTTCTTTGGACTTCTTGTTGTACGTTTTGATAACCCAGCGACTTGAAATGTTTTGGCCCGCAGATTTGCCAGTTAGCTTGCAGTGGTAAGTATCACGGAATCCACCTGAGGAAAACTTCTCTGAATCTACTGCACACTCTACCTCCATTGCATCTGTCCATTCTTTGGAGGCAATGCCAAATTGTTCAAAGGTTAGGAGACACTTGTTTTTGGTGACTGGTTCGATGAGCTTCCCAGCATCCAGCAATGAGGCAATGGATACGGATGGAGGAAACTGGGTTGTCACTGAGAACCTTCCATAATCTGCTTTTGGTTTTGGCGCAGCTGCCTTTCTCACTGGTGCTGATGGTGCGCCAGTTGTTCTTTGGAATGAGGAGTTATCCGAGAAACCTTCATGTACATGTGTTGGGTCAGAGCTATTGGAGTCCTCCCCATAATCTTGGCCAACTACAAACCGCACCAGATACACCTACATGTATGTCAAATAAAAGTAACGGAACCGATCAGATTTCATTTGGGTTGGGCATCATATTTATCTATTGACAGTGTCATAACTGACATTTTTCAAAACTTAAGCCAAGGAGAGTTTGTTCAGACCTCTCATTCAAACTCTTCAAGAATTTGAATCCTGTGTGAAGAACAGAAAACCTGATGTCAACCTAACTTATATTTGTTGTTTTTTTTTTACATGGTGACAAGTCAATATATCATGCCCTTTTCCCAAAAGAAACACAGAGAGATACAGTCAACTCTCATTACAACAGACACCCTCGGGACGTCGTTTAGTGTCCGTGATAGTGAGAGTCAGTAATACCAGGAGTCATTCCTAGTCCAATCTCTTTTGGAGGGGATCTGAATTTTGTCTGTAAGGGACCGGTCATTATTTAGAAGGGGGCTGGTGCAAATAGGGGGTGGGTCATAAGACAGATAAGATAAAGAGATAAGATAAGATAACTTTATTTATACACGGTATTTCCATCAGTTGTTAATTATCTATAAAGGTATATCTATCTTCCTAACTCTAATAAAATCTAATAATAACAATTCAAATAAAAGAAACAAGTAAAAATCTGCTTTTCATGGAGGCCGTGTCTAAAATTTACTTAAAATTAAGATATTACTTTAAACTGTGGCGACTTAATTTAGATTTGAAATCGGTCAGTGAAGACGCTTGTCTTAGGTCTAAGGGTAAGTCGTTCCACAAGTGAGCTCCGCTGTACAAAAAACTTCTCTTAAGATAATCAGTTCGAGGTGGTGGAAGAACTAATTTGTTTTCCGTATTCCTTAAACGATAAGCACTTATATTGTCACGATATAAAAATCTTGAATAATAAAGCTGAACATCTTAAACGGAATGGAACTATTTTGAAAGCCAACAGAGTTTCTTACATGTTAAATAGTTTTCAAAAGTCTCAAGTTGAGAGGCCTTGTCAGGCGCGAATATAGTCGGACATTGGTCCTTTAATACAGTTTTTCTCTAGTTTTACCCAAGAATATTTTTGCGCTATTGTTTATTTACCTAAGCTTAAATGCTTCCTACACTAACTCACCTTGTCCTCTCTATGAGGGATCTGTTCCATGCTGGTAAAAGAGGGTCCCTTGTTTGTTACAAGAACATCACATAGGCTTGCTGGCAAACTGTAATGGTCAGCGAGAGCCTTCTTCAAGTTTTCTAGCGTAAGATCCTCGCAAGGAAACGCCACAAACTCTCTTGGTTGGACTGGCCTAAACATTTGTTTGTTGGCTCAGATGCTAAACGTTGCACAATTAACTCATGCAGAGCAGAACCAGATTTCTTGCTTTTGCCTTTTCTGCGAGGGTCTGGTCGCTTCCTCTTCGCCTTCATTTCATCTTGCAAACGGTTCCACGTTTGTTGTCATCTATTCATCTCGATAAAAGGACTTTTTACTGTTGTTTGAACGAGAAAAGTGCAAGCCACAACCCACACGTGCACAAGTTACCAATCAGGAAATGCGAGCCGCCCTTCTGAAAGGAGTCCACTGACCTTACCTGTCGCAGGCTATGATAACAATGGGCTGCTTTCGAACATTTCATTTTGGAAACAAATATCGTGATGTTCCTTTCGGCCCAGCGTTATCATAGTAAACTTAAAATTCTTTTGCATTTTTACTAAAGGTTTTTATCTTATTTAATTTTAAATTATTTTTCACTTTAATTTTAACTTTTATGTATTTTAATTTTTAATCTTCCTTTGCTTTTTTTTATTGAATTTCTTCAGTAGCTCCTGTTTTCTTTAATGTCTTATTTTAAATTCAATTTTTTTTTTGGATTACTTTTACTTTTATTTTTTTTTTAAATTTTACTTTTATATTTTTATTATATTTTTATTCTTGTTTTTATTTATTCTTTTTTTGTTTAAATAGGTCATCAATTTTTATTTTTAATATTTTTGCCCAATTTTTATTTTATTATTTTTTTTAATTTTTAGTTCTTTCTTCTTAATTTTTTTATCACATCCGTATGCTTTATTCTCCTTTCTTTTAAAATTAAGGAAGCATCTCCAGCTGGTTTTGCTATGATATCAATGGGCCACCATAAAGGAGACTTAAACGTAAAACCTTGCTCTACACAACTCATGATTCAAATGAAACACGCGTGTTTTATTCAAAAGCGTTTATTTCGTTCTCTACAATATCTTCCAAGATGTCTCCTACTTTGTCATCACTGCTTGCAAGATCATGTTCAGAAAATAACTCGAGAAACTCATCCGTACTTTTACCTCTCGCTTTATACATCAAATACACAAGAGCATAGTCTCCACAACTGGCTGTTTTGATCGACTGTATGGGTGCATCGTTTCTGCGCACACACGACCATTTATTGAGCCACGCTATGAAAGGTTTCAAATGTTCGTAATGCAAAAAAAGGAAGTCCGTAACCATCCAATACTTCACAGGTGTCGTGTTCCGTCCACACGCCCAACCAATGTTGTCCAGGTAAGTGGGAAGGATCCGTATTCACGATGTATGCGTATCACACGCCATGGTTCCCACAAAAGCATTCCTCAAGTGTGTGTCCCCTGATGCCACAGCATTCAACTGATCTGTGGTTAACCACACAAATTCCATCCTGTTCTGTCCGCTTACCGCACATTCATGGAAGTGGTGGAATTTATACCGTCAATTTCTATTAAAGCTTCATATTGGGACATGAGGATGATGGTCTTTTGACTCTGTTGGGCAGCTCATTTCAAATGTAGATTGATCGTGCTTTGGGGTCTAGGCAATAGGATGGGATCGTCGTGTCTACCATTAGGCACGTTTGAAAACGCGAAGATGGTGGCGTTTTTACCGTACCCCCAATCCAGGAATCGCACCATATTTCCGCTTCCATGCTGGAGACATCCTGTGGCTTCCAAGAATCTGTAGTACCCCCTCAAATCCTTTTGACCATTCCCCGTGTTCAATTCCAGAGTTTCGTAAGGATATTCTTCCCCATCTACAATTTGTTTGATGTATTCTATGCCTGCTGGTTGATAGGCAAAGGTATCTTGATCGTATCTACCATGAAAGGCTGAGTTTTCCATGATAGCCAGTACGAATCGTTGTGGGACTTTGTTATTGAAGGGATTGTTGATTTCTTTGTAGGTGGCTCCGTTGTCCAGGGGGTATTGTCTCATTTCCGTCCTCACGAAGGGGTAGAGGGCTGCAGATTTACTCAAGAGGCCCATCATATCCATGTAGGTGGATGGATTGAGTTTCACGAGACACATGTAGAAGGAAAGTTTAACGTCGTCAGCGTGCATGTGCACAGATTCGGTGGGCGGGTTAGACTCTCCATTAGAGAAGATGGATGCTGGATTCAAGTAGAAATCCATTTCAAAACTGGTGCGGGGTACGATCCATTTACCTTGATGAAAAATTTCCACAAGGGTTTCATATGCAGAATACGCCTCTTTCCTTCCGAATACAAATCTCTCACTTCCTTTTTCTGGGCTTTGATGCTAGCCTGCCGATTGTCGGAGAGTGCTGCAAAGGCGGCATCGTTGCCTTTGACGTTCGTTGCTGTGTAAGTGACGGGAGAATCAATTTTGTTTCGCCAACCTCCATTTGTGGCTTGTGAGATGGTGTCTCCATCATTTCTGTCATTGTTCAGTAGGGTCTGGAGATAGGCTTTATGATGGTACATGTCCACTTGTTCAGTGAGTAGCATTCCATTACATTTCACATTGATCTGCTTGAAAAGAGTATGGGCCAAATTGTTGGCAAAAGAAGTCATCCTTCCCACATCGTCGTTGCGGGATGTGAGATGGCCACCTACAGTCGTCTTGAATCCCACATCTATTTCCTCAAACGATCGCAACAAATCAATGAGATGCGATTGTTTGTCAATGTAGATTTGAATGGGTGTGATACTCGACGTCAGAGGGGGAATTTTCACCCATCTCGAACTCACTGTACTGAGATCGGTGGGTGGAACTTGAAAGAGCAAGGGATTGGGGTTATGTTGCGCTGACTTTATCATGTTATCGTCGTCGCCTCCTCATGCGTTTGCGACGGTGACGTTGCAAGGAGGATGTTTTATAAGGAGCCCGTCGTACTAAAAATCCACCTCGTTGTTGTTTCCTTCTATGCGAATACCTATGGAGAATGGTAGAGATTCGATCGTTGGTCCCCACGCCGATTCTAGGCTGACTACTACGTACTTGACGGACGCGTGACATGATTAGTTTACTCTGCGAAGATGTCTGATTTTTTTGGCCACTTTTCTCTTGACTTCGTTCTCGAGGGCCGTTTTAGCTCCTCTCTTTACGCCACGTTTCATTCACGTTTCTGAAAGGGATCATTTCTTAACACCACTTTTAATACCATTCCTCACTTCTCGTAAAAAATCCTGTGCCATTTCTTTCTTACCACTCCCCACTTGATGATGAGTACCGGACCATGTACCCACAAAGGGTGGTGGACGTCCCCCCCGATACAAACTACCTCCCTTTTGAGGGATGGGGTGATGAGGTGGCGTGTACACCACGAATTGTTTCAACGTACCTCCTCTCATGATAACAACACACATACAAATAATAGCATCTTTTATTTCACGTCGTTTTTATGGATCCAACTATTGTATTTGGCAGGATACCCTTTCCACTTATCTTTTATCTTTGGTACGTTTCAACACTTTTTCGACCCTAAAAAATGAGGATTCGTCCACTGTCACCTTTTGCAAGTCCCTGGCGTAAAAGGTACCCTGATAAGGAGTGTTGTCCAACTCTTTCACCTTGTAGGTCGTGACGCCCAAAGAGGGAACCACTTGACATACGACAAACACTTCCTCCGTCCATCCCGGTAGATAGCCTTTCTTAAAAGATCTGAATCTCTTGTTGAGAGGTACCCTATCTCCCACTTTAAACACGGGATGTAGTTTCTTCCCTTCTTCCAAGCGTCCGTCGTACAATCGATGCGATACGTCTTGCACGTTCCAAAGTGTGACTTTGGCAGGAGCCATGCCTATGCTCTTATGATACGTGTGATTATACTGTTGGACGAGTTTGGGTAACACATCTACAAATCTTAGGGTGTTGGCGGCCGTGAAATATCTGTAGAGTTTGGATTTCAGGGTGCGATTGAAACGTTCCACGACGCTAGCCTTGGCATCCCCGTGCGTTGAAAAATGATGGATCTTCTCTCGTTTCATGAGCTCCTGAAATGTTCCGTTCTAAAATTCTTTACCCGCATCTGTTTGTAATTTAAGAGGTTTTCTCCCTTCGGCTTGGGTGAGTACACGTCGAAAGGCTTCGGTGACATCTTTTCCAGTCTTCTTCTTAAGCAATTGCACCCACGCATATTTGGATAACACATCAATGACAGTGAGAAAATAGCGATATCCCTTATTCTGTTTGGCAATTTATTGTACTTCTATCAGATCGGCCACCCATTGTTCGTCCATGTCAAACACTAGAACGGGTTGAAAGGCACCGTGCCGCCTTCTGGGTTTGTGTAGAGTATAGGCAAGATTCTTTTCCAATTCTCTCTTGACATGCCCGACCGATATCTTTTGAGCCTTGGCATACTCTGAGACACCCTCCAGATTACCCACCACCCCAGGCGTAGAATAATCCAATAAGACTTTCTTCTTATAATCTTGATTGTCCGAGTCCACTACTTTCTTCTTCTTCTTCCCAGAGCGTTCCATCTTCTTAGACATAGCAACTTGAGGTAGAGGATGTAGGCGTAGTAGAGGAGCCAAGTGTTTGAAGGTACAATTGCTGCCAAACGTATTTTGTATATCTTCCTTTGTAGAATCTCATAAAGGTCATGATGTGGAAGATCCTTGTATGTATAGGAAACCTGTGTGGGAGGACTTCATTGCGAATCACACGGTGTTCCAAGCCCATAGGTACCCAGTCGTACGGTATGAGTTTATATGGGGTTTCGTGTTTGTACACAACGTCCCTGATCTTCATGCACACCCAGTGTGAGAGTTTGTACTGTAGGTAATAGATAGCTCTTTCCATGATCAGCGTCTACCTCGATAATGACTCACATTGTCCATGACCCCCTTAAGAACTTGTTTACCCAGCAATCTTCCCAAGGTGCCGAATCCTGGGGCGGGTCCAGACAGCAACATACTAACCACGTAAGCTGCTTTATCTGTAGCGGAGGGTCCTCGATTTAAAATTCTATTCATGGTACATACAGACGCCCCACCCTTTTGGGAAGTTCTCTTCTTCCTCTTCCTTCGTGAGGGTCTATTGCCACTACGTCTTTTACCCATGATAGGATACAAAAGAAATGAACCAAGACATGATATTCACACATTTTTAATGTTCCTCTAACAATTCTTTCAATACATCGTCGTAAGGTCGGTCCATTAAAATAGAGAAGAATCCAGTCACCTTTTCGACCTTTTCCTGGGCCAACACTTTGGCAATACATTTCAAAACATCATCGGAAGGTACACCTTCTTTAAATCGTAGTCCTAACGAAAACAAGCAAATGAAAAAACTATGAAAAAATTCTTTTGTACACTTCATCTAAGAATTCGTCCTTCGTTTGGGGCGTGACGTTCAAACGATGGCAAATTTTTAAGAATAATGTAGGTCCGCACCACGCACCTACATCCACTAAATCATCTTTTCCAATTTCATCTGTAACAACGAACCAAAAAACCTAACGTTAACAGTCTGTACAAGGAGATTCATCATCTGTTTCATACCCTAATCGTAAAAAAACAAAATGGAGCGTTTCCGTTGACATACGCCTTTACAAAAGTCGTGATACTTTTTTCTAAACCCTAACCCTAACTCCTAACCCTAAAGTCTCCGTGCAAATGGGGATGGGTTCGTTTCATGTTATCAGGGAACTCCACGGCGGTACCGTTCACCTGTCAATGAGAGCCTTCGGGGTGAGCCATGAGTATCTCTTGGGTTTTCTTAAAGGGTCTCGTGTTCTACCATGCAAAGAGGTCACACTCTCTAAATGCACACCTCAGATACATTCTGTTTCTGTTCTTCTCAGACATGGAAATGGACAGCGTGGGGCTTCGACCACATTCGCACACCATTTGATCTTTACGGTCCAACGTAAACCAATCGTGACCTTGGGCACGACACAGATCGTAATACTTTTGGTAGTCTTGGGCGGGACAAAACACGGGGCAAGTAGACACGCTTCAACAAAGGAACACATCCGTACAAGTTTCTTTTATAGACTTGCGTTCTTCCATTCCTTGGGTAATAAGAATGGGGCATGGGAACCAGGAGTCTGCCTCCACGCTATCCAATAACTCATCCAAAGAGGAATAGTAAAACGTACCGGTACCTTCAACGCCTGGTATGATTTCACCTTCCTCTACTACTTCTTCTTCTTCTGGTACTTCAGAGGGTAGAGCACTCGCGGAAGGCTGGGGTACTACAGTCTCTCGTCTGCTTTTTCCCCGCCCAGGACGTGGAAGCACTTTCCAATCTTTCTCGGTGTAATCGTAATGGTCAATGTCCACGTACTGTTCATCTGCAGGCTCCTCGTTGGCGGTTTTCTTGACGGGCACCTTCTTCTTGCTGTAAGGGACAGCTCATTTTCCTTTGGTGAGCTTCTGTTTGTCGGCCATTTTATTTTCTGGTGGTTCTTGCTTGCCTGCTCCACAACGAATGTCTTGACAGGTAAATGAAGGTCACCTTTATACCGCTGAGAACAATACCCTTCCTATTTTTAGATAGCGTGGTATCAAAGGTCATTTTCCATAAATGGTAGGGCAATGCATCGTTCTATTCCGTATATGGCAGGCTACTGCGTCGTACGTGCTCTTCCAATGACCATATTTGGTCATGTGTCGAAGCATGCGTGATGTCCATGCTATAAAAGAAAGCAGGTTTTGTAGTATCGAACGTCATTATGCTATCATTCTACTCTTATTCCAGATCGCGGTTGGAGAGGGAAAGAGACAAAGCTTGGGAAGACTTACTGTGCCAGTTGTTCAAGTTGTTGCGCCTACGAGATGCTAAGGATGACGTCCCCCATGGAAGTGGGTATTTTGAATGGGCGTGTCCTATACACTGGGGGCGCCGAATGTGTGGATGCTCTCACTGAGGAATTGGCCTAAAGGTATGACATGAGTGTTTGCATCATCATTCCGCCCACTCACTCCCGCGCCGTTCGTATCACGCCTTTGACGGAAAGCATGTTGCAGGAGGGTTTGCAGCACGTGTTACGCTCCAACAAGACGTTGCAATGCTCTCTATCCAATAACGTCTTAAAGACGGGACTGTTACAGAGAAACTATTGGGTAGTGAGGGATACCAATCTCGTGCTGGCCTTCGGACATTTCGACACAACTAAACCCCACACGTTACAGGGAGGAACCGGTTGGAGCGTACAAATGGCGTTGGAGCAACAAAAACCCGTGTGCGTCTACACAGACCAGTGGTACCAATTCGACTACTCGCAACAGAGATTTGTCCCATCTACAATATGAAAACACCGCCATCGTGGGAAGCAGACGCATCACTCTTCAAATGACACAAGAATTACACAATTTATTTCAGAGAACCATTCGGATAGAAACTAGACCGTTACCGAATTTTTGGTTTCATTAACATTGTAAAAAAAACAGAACAATAAAAAACGAGTGTTGTAACAAAAGTCTCATTCTTTTCCTTCTCTCTTCTCTTCGTCCTTATTCGAAACGCTACATTTTTCTTCTTCCTCTTCGACCCTACACTCTTCGCAATTGCACCCTACATCGTAACAAAATTTGACAAAGTTCGTAAAGGCACACATGACTTGATTCCTCAGGATTAGAAACCGCTTCTCGTCGTTTGTTAGTTCGTTGTCTTCTTCCTCTTCCATCATGTCGCGGATGTAAGCTTTGGCATAGCGTACCACTTGTCTCAAGGAATCCTTGTCCGCTCGGTGCTGCATAATGTGACAACAACATAATGTGCCTGCGACAACAACCCGGACCACTGCAGTGCCTGTCTCCAGACTGGATGTCCGGATTACACCGAGGCCCAATGCCAAAGTCTTCCGGCGACGCAGACCTGCGATTCAGGTAGACGGATGTTCTATGGGACAGCGTGTTTCACCAATCACGTTTCTAAGACACAGAGTGGGAAGACCGCGGATCACCAGCAACTGAGCGTCTGTATGAGTCGTAGGAAGTGCGGCAACTGTTGCAAACTCCTTGTGGGTTGCAAACAGCAACAAGAATACCGGTGTGGCTACGTCACGTGTCCTTTGTGTCACCATTACATCGAAGCCCTGTCGCATCGGTGCTTCATTCAAGTGGCTAAGACTCCCGAGGAAGAACGTGCGGAATGTCACACCAAACGAAGACCTGGTCGTCATCTGCGTGGTGCTGATGCCGGCTTGGCCACCGTGCACTCCAACGAGGATGATGTGCCCTCCATTTCTCTTCTTCCTTCACCTCCTGTGGACAGTGTCGACCTCAATGACGAAAAACCTTCGACGTGGAGGCCATGCAGGACACGGGACATCACGTTTCGAATCTTGTTGTGGATGAAACCGAGAACGACGAGTGTCCAGTCTGCTTCCGGGGAGACTTGTGCATGTGCAGCTTCTTGGAGTGGCTGGACACGTTGACGGAGGAGGACAGCCGAGAGGTTTGAGTTCCAAGGCTGCTTATGGCATGGTTGTCCGGCCTGCTATTCCAATTGCACCGAATCCCACCGCCGCCTCAACGATAGGTGCTTTGACTACGTGTACCGTTGCACGCAGGTCAAACTCGACTTACTGCGTAATCGAGGTTTCAGGGTAGTTGAAATTTGGGAGTGTCAATGGGAAAAACTGAAACGAGAACGCGAAGATGTTTGCGCGTTCATTGACGCCCTAAATCTCTCGGCCCCTCTAAATCCTCGGGATGCGTTCTTTGGAGGTCGTACGAACGCCTTACGACTCTACCACAAGGTAGATGAGACTCACGGGGAAAAGACTCCTTACTTCGATTTCATGTCTCTGTACCCGTGGGTTAACAAGAACGGTAAGTACCCTCTGGGACATCCTGAGATCATCTCTCAACCTGGTCATACAGACCTTTCTCGTTATTCCGGCCTAGCGAAATGCACGGTGCTTCCACCCCAAGGTCTCTTCCATCCCGTGCTACCTTACCGTCATGCCGGCAAACTCACCTTTCCACCCTGTGCCTCCTGCGTGGCCGAGGAAATGTCCAAACCCTTTCTGGAGCGTACTCCCGTCTGTACTCACACGGATTCGGAACGCCAACTTGTAGGGACCTGGTGCACACCAGAACTCCTCAAGGCTATTGAGAAGGGATACACAGTCGTCTGCGTACACACAGTGTGGCATTTCCCAACCACTCGCAGAGGGCTCTTCAAAGACTACATGAACACGTGGCTCATGATCAAGGAAGAGGCCAGTGGGTGGCCAAGTCACGTGGGCAACAATCCCCTGAAACGTCAACGACACTTGGACGATTACAGAGACAAAGAGGGGATCGAATTGGACCCAGAAAAGATTGAGAAAAATCCCGGACTGCATACGCTGGCCAAAATGATGTTAAACTCCAATTTTGAATTTGATGACCCCTAAACATTTTCCACCTTCTGTAATAGTGACACCCTACAAATCAAATACGTTAGTATACAGTCAGATGATCGGGTGGAAGTACAATACACTTTACAAGAGGAAGACGAATTCATCTCGCCCAACCTGAACATATTCGTGGCCTGTTTCACGACCTGTTGGGCTCGTCTTAAACTCTATGACGCTCTCAACATCTTACAAGAGCGAGTACTGTACAAAGACACGGACTCAGTTGTGTTCCTTTCTGCCCAGGGAATGCCCAAGCCACCACTGGGAGATTATCTGGGGGACTTTAAGGACGAATTGCCCCCAGACGATTATATAGTGGAATTTGCCTCCGGAGGTCCAAAAAACTATGGATACAAGACCCATAAAGGTAAAGAGGACTGTCAAGTTCGAGGCATCACACTCAATAGTCTGGGGAAGAGATATGTCAATTTTGAAATCCTCAAAAATGACGTGCTAGAAGACTTGACTTCGCCACTGGAGTCTGGCAAGCGTGCGTCACTGCCGTGCCCATACCATAGAAAATCGTGAGGAATGCCCAAGAATACCAATTGTCCACCACAGCCCAACAAAAAAAATACAAGTTGGTCTACAACAAGCGCATGGTGAATCCTCACACGTTCCAAACCTTCCCATATGGGTATGAGCAGTGGACGGAAGAGGACGCGCATGTGACTGAACTGCTCACTTCTCTCTTAATCTTATTCTGACGGTCACCTAGCTTCATCTCACTTCTTTTTCCAAAAAAAAAAAACAAAAAAAAATTGTAAATAGTGCAAATAGTCCCAGCGACAATGAGTCGAGATGACTACTCGATGATATCCACACGCACCTTTCGTAGCAATCAGGGAATCAAAACACAAGTCGAAGGTAACCAACCCCTCGAGGCGTGCCCCATTGCCACGGGAGATACGGGTTTAATGCTCTCACACGAGAGGGGGACTGGGAAGTCATTTTTAAGAACTACGCATGCACATTTTTTTAGGTTACCACATGGATTGGAAAGATCGAAATGTGACATATATATATTCATTCGACCCCAATCCATTTTTAGGTTGTCAGGGTGATAGTGATGACGTCATAGGATCAAAAAATCAATTCTCCTAGTTAGAATTGATGACGTCATCATTTACGTCATAGGCCAGGTTGGGAGAATTCGAAAAAATCAGCCCTGAGTGAGCGGATACCACTACTAATGATGTTTATTTACAATTGGTTATGATATTCCTAATACATTTTTTCTTATTTTTTTGGAGGAGCTAATAGCTTTTTTAGCACCAAATGAAGCACCTCGTCCAAGAGCACCTAATCCGATGGCCTTACATGCGGCGATGAATGCTGGAACGAGTGCTGCTAAGGGTAGGAGACCTCCTTTTTGTCTGTTCAATTTTCTTCTTCTTCTTGTTCCTCTCCATCTGTTTTTTCTTCTTTGAACAATGATGTCTTCTTGTAGGTTACGCGAGTATACTCTGGTATAATAACAATCGATGGTGCGCGTTGTTTTTATGGCTAAGTGAGGAGGGTTATTTACAATTTGAATTTTCTTTTAGCGGCGATAATATTTCGCGATAATTTTTCCATGGGTGATTTTTTACCAGGAAGTGCATCAATGGCATGGACCATTTTTAGGTCAGCTATCCATTTGTCTCGTATGTTTTTGGCATTGGAATAGTCTGTATTGTGTTGTTTGGCGATTCTGTCCAAACGATTGATACCAGGATCACCGCATGCGAGTCGTTTTTTGAGAAATGTGTCAGGACCCAGGTATTGATATCTTTTACGTTTTGAGAGTGAAAAGGGATGAAATTCAATTCCTAATTTTTCTATTTTTTTCTGTATGTCAAATTTCCCTCCTCTTTGTCTTCTTTTCTTTGGTTTACGTGCATCGTGTTGTCGTTTTCTGGCCATGATTCTTCTTCTTCTTCTTTTCTTTGAATTACGCGCGGCATGTTGTCATTTTCTGGCCATGATATAGGATTGTTAATGTTGAAATGAGATAGGGTGTTGTTTATATACAGTTCAGTCTTTGGCGAGATTATTTTGCGGCTGATTCAATTGATCTTGTATGCGGTGACATCTATCCCTGAGCATGGTCGTGTAGTTGTGTAATACCTTATTGCTTTGTTTGATGTCTCCCGACCATGTTGAGATGTTTTCCATGGTATGTTGTATATTTTCAGAGTTTATATTTTTCTTACGAGAAATTTCCAGGGCTTTTTGAAAGATTTGATTTGTTTGTTGAAGGAGAGCAAGGTTTTTTTCTTTCCGATGAAAGATTTGTAGGAGTTCTTCGACGATTTGGTTTGTTTCTTGATTGAGCTGTAGGAGTTTTTGCGTTGAACGGAATGAAAAAAAGTGGGTTGGGGAAGGAAATTTATAGAGAGAGAGAACAGATATGATTGACACATTTGCTGTCAAAAAAAATGAAATTTATTTCAGTGAAAAAAAAAATTTACACCTCGTGTTGTTTACAAGTGACAAGAATCCGTAATACTCTTCAAACACATTCTACTCTTAAATCACGATTTGTTTCTAATTCACATTGTAATTTAATTTTTTTTTTTGAGATTTCTTTGAAGATCATGTCGTGAATCTGAAAAATAAAAAGTATTTTATTGACATCACACATCCCTTCAACTTGATAAGAAACGAGTAGAGAGGGGAAGTTCGTGCATGAAATTAGAAGATCCTCGCAGCTAAGAACACCACTGAAACGAGTAGTACATGTACATTCCACAAATGTTGCAATGTTCTTTTCCAATTCACCTGACACCATCGGTGCATGTATTATCGACAACATGAAAGTTGCATGCTTCGTTCACATCCGGTTTTTTTTCTTTCCTGTCTCATTCGTTTACTGTTTCGCCTGACCATTTTTTTCTATATACACAATGTAAAATATACAATTAAGATAGTGATGAAAGACATTATTTTCTCGGGGGAACGGGGAAAAAAGTATTATACCTTTTTTTCCCCTTTGTCTTCGTCTTATTCTGATCTTGATTGTGTCTCTATGCTTTGGAAATGTGTGATGGAGTGATGAAAGACGTCCCCTTTTATATACTGTTCCCAACCCCATCACTGCTGACGAATGATATTTATCACCTGTCAAATATGATAAGAATGACACTATAAACTATAGATGGTGTATTGTGTTTTAGAAAAAAAAATCATTACACCTATGAAGATGCGACAAAGAAGCATCGAAGAAGAACTTCATTTGGAAACAGACTTGATGAAACAGAGTACGGATCCCAAAGCAGAACTCATTACCAAACGCCATCTTGTAACGTCAATTCAATTGGTGTATAAATTGCAGAATGAGAATTGGGTATGTTGGCCTCTATTTGCGCATCATAATGAAGTGGTTATGGCAGAAAGATTTTCTAAGATTGTTGAGAAGATGTACGAGACTATACCTGATCGCCTACCTGTGAACTATGCTACATATCAAAAATTCAAAAGAATCCAGTTTGTGAAGTTTCAACCTCACTATAGTAAGATCAAATGGAATAGATTTGTGGCAAGACTCATGAAAATTTTTACATATTATGAACAACACAAAGAAGTTATTGCGTAAAAAAAAAAAGTTTTTTTATTGTTTGAAATTTAAGCCTTGTTATTCCGGAATAGAATGGAACAGTCTCGTTTCTAGTTTCTAGTTTCGTTTCACAACCCACAATTCCTCTAATCGCTCTGACGAAGGGCTAATGCTTGAAACGTCAGCTTTTTTATCCTTTACGGTGGCTAATTTACGTTTTCAACCCAGTTGTTAACACTAAATCACCTGCTATACTCTCCCACTAACGCAGCACCACAGTTTCTTTAGAAACTTACCCCTTTATTCGTTTCTAGACTGACAAGGATTTATACTTTTTATGAACATTACAAAGATATATTTACAACAAGAACGTTGGGCACATTGACCTGTCTTTGTTTGACCTAGTTGTAAAAAAAAACATGCAGAGTTACAAATAAAATTTTTTAAGCACCATCATCACTTTTCGTTATCATCATCATCATCATCATCATCATCATCATCAAACGCCAATTTTTTTTGGCAACAGAACCTAATCTGTTTCTTCTTTTTTTTCCCAGACAGATCCCAACTTGTCCATCCTTTAGCCGGTTTTAAGATTTTGAGGGCTTGTGGTGTTTTGGAACATTTGGCAGATATTTTTCGCATTTTTCTCAAAGTTTTGTTGAGAGTACCGTCTATATCTAATTCAGGTTCTTCTTGAGCAAATGGCAATTCATCCCATGGCACCTTTTTGCTTGGGGTTTGTTTCTTGGGTATCTTGACGGGAATTCTCGACGGTTTTAGAGGTGTCATTGTCGTCAGTTCTCTTTTGGGTGCTCTTCTGGGTGTGACCAGTTCTCTTTTGGGGCGACTTCACTCAAAATTCTTTTGAGCAATTTCTGTTGTATGGGAGTCACCAAATCTCCTTCTTTGTCTTTTAAAGATTTTACCAACTTGGTAGGATCGGCATCGACCGATAACGATGCTGGTAGTTGTCTACAATGTACAATTTCTTCCACACTTTTCCATCATTATACATGGTGACATTCTTAGGTGCGACACCCGTAGCAATCCAGATACTTGAGAGTAGCATTGGCTGTTAAAGCTCAGTACAATCTCTGTTTGAGGGTTTGGTTAAATCTTTCTACCACAGAAGCTTTTGTATCACTTTGAGTATTAAAATGAGTGATCTTTTGCTGTGTGAGATATTCTTGAAACGATTTGTTGTAAAATTCACTTCCTTTATCCGTTTGTAGATGTAACGGTTTTCTCCCTTCTTTCAAAATAGACTCGAAAGCGCGTTTTTGTTCTGCACCTGTTTTGTTCTTCATAGGAACCACCCATGCGTATTTACTTAAAACGTCTACAACCGTTAAGAGATATTTTACCCCTTTGTTGTATCTACTGAGATTTTTCATATCCACTAAATTGGCTGCCCATTGATGATCTATACTATTAGCTACGGTCGGATTCCTTGTATAACGTACACGTACCAGTTTATGCAAAGAGTAAATTAAATTATTCCACATGATACTCTTGAGTTTTTTGACGGGTACACCCGTGGCCTTGTGTAACCTTTGCAATCCACCATAACTACCTGGATTCGAAAAGTCATAATACGTCTTCAATACCATCCGTTCCAACTTTTTTTCTTTATCCAACTTTCTTTTTTTTCTCTTGTTAATTCCCATCACTTTTTTTTTTCCTCACAGTAAAATTTTAGTGCAACATCTCACCAATGCGATTAAAGCCGCCCTCATTAACTCTTTGAATGATGGTACTTTATCAGGATGAGTATTAAATACCCATTCTTTATGTTGTTCGAAATCTCTTCCTCTTAACTGTTCTCTCATTCCCTCCATGTGTACAATGAATACCCCGAAATTCCGTTTATCCACACGTTCAGGATCCGTGATTAAATAAATAAATATATCGTCTGCATTTTCCTTGGTTTTCACTTTTTCCAATTGTTCTCGTGGTATAAGTGATTCTTGTCCATTCAATTCATTTTGATAAATTCGCCGCCATAACCATTCTTTCCCTATCAGCTCCATCTTCTATTCTGACCAATAACATTCATGGCATAGGTATTTATATAAAAACACAATGAAAAATGTTTTTCTCGTCATTTTCACCCATGTGTTATCCAGAAACAATGAACGCTGATGTAAAAGGCAACCATGCAGCCTTTTTTCTTCGGAAACGTCAATCATTCAAAAATGAAGTGACTAATCACTACTGGAAAAAATACTGGGTGATTGCCATCTTGAAAACCGTTCATAAATTGAAAGGACTTGAACCATCTATTCACCCCTTCTTTTCCACACAGCGATTGGAATATGTCAATGAAACGAGTTACAAACTCGAACGTGGATTGAAAGAAATTAAGTTTAATGACATCTACGACGAATGGGTCAAGATCTTGAGAGAAAGAGGAGTGTATCATCTCATTTGGAACCATGAGGACATGGATTTTGTAAAATCTATGATTTCTGGAAGTGACACTACTAAAATGCTATTGGAGGAAATTCTGTCATTCAGAACAGAATAATTGGCATTTTCTTATGAAACTATGGGATTCACACATCAAGATATTGACATCATTTTTGATTGGATGAGAATCACACCTGACGAACGTTTCATGGTGGATTGGATGAAGTTGATGGTGGCGTCATCAACGAAAAAACCGTATAAAAGTAAACTCGTTTTTTATTTTCTTTCTTTTTTACCATCATCATGGCTGCTAGCACGCAAGATTATTCTCCTATAAACTCTTTACAGAAAATGGTAGACAACATACCAGGTGGTAGCAGACATGAGAAAAAAAGCATAAAAAACATAAAAAAAGAGAAAACACAACAGTGCCACAAACCCTTCCAGAGTTACAGACAACTCCTGCCTTCAAACCCAATGAATTGTTGAAAGAAATGGGGTTTGACGTTTCCCCCACAACTTCTAATTCAACCGTGTCACCTACAACAGTGACTACTGTTTTGGCTGAGAAACAGTATGACCTCAATGTTTGCCTGTTCCACCCAGTCAAGTTGGAATTATTTCAAGCCGACTCTAACAAAGAATGGTATGTGAAATGCCCCTTCTCACGAGAATGTGGAGTCTTTTCATCTAGAAATTTGCAAAACGCCTACATGGGAATGCTTAACAGAAAGGTGCACAATACCTACAGGAATCTTAAGGGAACTGTTATGTGTGAATGCAACAATCAGGCTTCCCTGAGAGTAAGTGAGTCAAGTCTAAACCCAGGAAGACCCTTTTTTGGTTGCCGAAACAGAGGTGGATGTCGATTCTTTCAATGGGCAGATGTAGGGTTTACCAAAAAAAACGAAGAACTACAGAAACTCTTTAAGGAATATGGCAAGTTTTAAAAACTTTTATTTTTTAACTGTAAATAGCCTTTTTTTTAACAACGCTGTAAATAGCTTTCTTTTTTCTTTTCAAACGTTTTTTTATTAACTAAAATGAGATGGTGTTCTTACAAAAAACACAAAATCTTTATCCAAGCCAGACTTTGGAATGGCATGTTTGAAATCCATGTAATAAGAATGGATTTTATTTAAATTACGAAGTAAACACTTCCATTCTTGAGTTGAATAAGAATGTTCAAACTTTTTAAAGTCAATCATGCAAAATGTTCTATACAATGTAAATCCAGATTCTTAGCCATTCTCTCGACGATATTATAAAAGCTCTTGGCTGACACCTCGTGATAGTTGTATTTCATCATCTCCAGCCAGCGCATCCAGTTTTCTTCGTCTGCCTGAATCCGGTAGACCAGTTTGATTGCCATCATGAGGTGTCTCCTCGTCTCGTAGTCGGCCGTAACCCGTGTACCCTGCATGATGTGACTGCTCTCTTCATCGCACTCCTCGTTGAATGCGGCCACCTCGTCCATGGTGTAATCCATACCCGCTTGGTGCACCCTCCCACTGTTTCGGCCATTTCTTTCAAAGGAGACAGATTTTTACACGGCGAGACATTTCCCACTCTTCTCCACGCAAACATTCTTACAATATTGACAACAATCGACTTCGTACTTCAGGCAGGCAGAAATTAAAAACAATAGTGGTATAAACATAAGAATGAAGCAGCAAAGCCAAACCCAAATCGCCATTGATTGGATAACGTGAACAGCCCCACCCTTATCTTCTATACTACACCCTATAGTGCTTCCATATGGTATAACCCCTCGAGGGGATGGGGGGATACCCCCTATAATGTTTCCATTTAAGGTAAACATGATGGCGTGATAATGTTTCCATTTAAGGTAAATGATGACGTGATAAGACACGTGAATAGTTTACGCTATAAATACTCGACACCTGTCGATAGAATCCATCAGTTTTTCCAGTCATGGATCAACACCAAGATATCTCAGATAAAGACCTATTACAGGCAGTAGAAGAACTTGAAGATGCAGGGCAGAGTGGTGGTAGTAGAAGAAGGAGAAGAACAAGAAATTGAGAAGGGTACTTTACCTTCAGCCGTACGCAGTTCAGAGAGAAGACAGCCAAGAGTTATGGTATTAAGCGCACCTCATATCATTTACGGGTAGAGAATCTGAGAAACACATTCCCTGTTGGGCATGGTAACATTGTAAGAGCTTTTGGGGAAGGTCTTGCTAACAGCATAGAAGAATTAATTGATGGTTTGCCAAACCATGACAGAATCCAAATCTATCTTGGCAGTAGCCGCCTGTGTAATTCCCACACCTCAGCGCATGTTTCTGTCGAACAATGGTGTGACCCTTTGGGTGCTTTGAGGCAAGTACTTCGAAACATCTCTAATTTGCTTAACTCTAATGAAAGTTTTCAATTAGACGACACATTGCGAAGTCGAAAAGAAGTGTTGTGCGCATCATGAATGATGATGATCTTTGCTGTGCACGAGCCATAATAGTGGCTAAAGCCATAGCGGATAAAGATTAACGGTTAAAACTCACAAAAGATTCAAGGATACGTGTGCAAGAAACTTTGGCATGAAAGTTATAAGAAGAAGCGTGCGTTCCCCTAGGTCCTTGTGGCCTAGACCAAATAAGGCTATTAGAAATCATATTGAATGACTATCAATTTGTCATCCTATCAGCAGAACATGGACATGCTATTATTCACAAAGGTCCACCCAGTGAAAAACAAATCATGTTACTCGTGCATGATGGGCATTTCGATGTGATCACTAAACTACCTGGTTTCTTAGATTCTAGTTACTTCTGCCTCAAGTGTGAAAAGGCCTATTCTTCGGAAACCTAGAATCATCATTCCTGCCATAAAACTAAATGTGATGCTTGTCTTCAAAAAAAATGTCATGACTACAACATCTTTAAACACAATGAAAATCCAGAACTGCCATGCAAAGAATGTAATAGAAAGTTCTATGGTGTGACGTGCCAATTGAATCATCTGACTCAGAAAGCCAATGGTCAATCGGTAGCGCCCTTGGAAAGGAATGTGTGTCAATCCCATAAAAAAATGTCCCACTTGTCTGCATCTGTACACTTCTACATCACAAGAACATGTGAAACATTGTGGGCTTCAATATTGTCCAAATTGTTCGAAGGAAGTGATCATTTTACAGCACAAGTGCTTCCTTCAGTCCACTGATGATGACTATGATAAGAAAAACACTATCTTTGTGTACTTTGACATTGAGGCGCGTCAAGACACTGGAAACCATATTGCAAACCTATTATGTGCAGAAACGGATCAGAACAATCAACAATTCACCTTTAAAGGCGAACAATGTGTTGAGTCATTCCTTCAATGGGTTCATACCCTAGCTAATGATGAAACTGTAGATAAAGTTATTGTGGTAGCCCACAATTTCAAAGGCTATGATGGTTATTTAATTTTGGAGGAACTTTACAAACAACATACAGGCAACTCGCAACAAATTTTCAATGGAGCCAAAATTCTAAGTTTGGAATTACCAAACATCAAATTCATCGACTCGATGAATTTCTTCCCCATGGCATTGGCAAACTTTCCCAAAACATTTGGACTGAATGAACTAAAGAAAGGCTTCTTCCCACATTTCTTCAACACGCAAGAGCATCAAATCTACGAGGGTTACATGCCAGATAGAAAGTATTACGACCCTGATGGTATGTCTCCAACACGCAAACAAGAATTCGAGTCATGGTACGACGAAAAAGTACCAATCCAATGTCAGACTCTTGAAGCAAGGATGCATGAAATTCCAGGTGCAATTTAAAGAAATTTGCGGGTTTAACCTGATGAAAAATTGCATCACCATCACATCAGCCTGTAATATGGCATACCGCAAAAATTGGATGCCAGAAAATCAAATTGCTATCCAACCTGTCCGTGGCTGGCACACCAACCATATTCAATTCCATAAGGCGTTAAGATGGCTCTACTGGGAGGAAAAACAACTTACCAGATCTGACCTCCTTCCCCGTATTGCCCATGTCATGAACAATGGTGAAAGAAAGTTAAAGGACGGAACCAAATCATTCCTGGTAGATGGATACGACGAGAAAACGCGTACCATCTACGAATTCCAGGGGTGTTTTTACCACGGCTGCACCACATGCTTTCCCAACCGTGGTATGAAACACCCTACCATCAAAATAAAACAATGAGGGATGTTCAAGAAGAAACCAGAACAAAAGTCGAACGCTTATCCCAGTTGGGATACCATGTAAAAGAAATGTGGGAATGC